TTGACACAGAGCGCATCTGTTTGATTGAACATCATTTGACCACAAGATCACAATGAAAAAACTCAAAGCATGTTAAAGGTATTTCTTCACTATGCCACCACAACAAAAGGAACAAACGATGACATAAACCATAATATGAAGCAACACAACTTTAAAAAAAAAAAAGGGTCAAAATAAATAGCATTTTAGTCAGATAATGCTCAATAGATGCAAGCACTGTTAGGAAACCTGCTGTCTTCTGGTATTGGAAACATTAGATAATTGGAACGACAAAAAAAATTATCATGCCATACTTGAAAATTAAAATAATTGCTTGAAAACAGCATTCACAATCAAGGATATGGTGATACCGGTTCCTCTAGAAGAGGCAATATCTTAGAAGCCACTCCAATGTAGGAAAAGTATAGAAGCTAGCACATTTGGCACTGATGGTTAAGGTCCAAATGACGCAACTGTCGGCATACTGAATCAATGACATAGTCTGCATTTTCCAGAACTAGATGTCCAACCTACAAGAATGCATGCATGATAGAAGTCATGCGAGGATTTTTTTTTTTTTTTTGGGGGGGGGGTGTTGTGGGGGAGTTTGAAACAGAGAAAATAACCGTTGAATAGCCATATGTGGTGGAAAGTATATGCAAGGCACAGTCTGCAGCGTTTCTAACTTGGAAACTTGGAGAACTGAGATTCTCAAGCAACAAATAAAGAGATGAATGAAGAAACCCACTTGCAGCAAAATCTCTTCCAAGACATAGATTGAAGATTCCTAGTCCATCAATAATAACCTGTTCCAAATAAATGAAGCTATTAATATCCTATCCAGTACAGGTGGTCATACAATGAAAGGACCACTAATTACAGAGAATAAATAGCCAGTCAAAAGGAAAATGTGTATTTCCTCGTGTAGCATCGCAGCGTCCTGGAAAAGGTATGGGCTAGGTTCGTCGTCTTCAGCATTAAGATGCATGTCCACAGATCTGTAGTTGACTGGAATACCCCAAACTTCAGCAGATAAATACTCATGCAAGATCCCACCAATGCAATCCATTAAATGACTTCTTGCACCTTCATCATGTAGCATCTTCCAAACAGATTCATGAAGTGAACAATCAAGTTTGAAAGACTGGACCTCAATGCCTTCCCTTTTCGTAGCAGATCTATGAAACACTCTAGCAAAACCATTAATAGCTTGATCAGATCGACCAAACATTATCTCGTTGAGCATACATGCAGCTGTGCTTGCTTTCCGCAATAACTGTCCTGAACCAGTTCTCTCATACCAAGATCGCCAGCTTTCTTTATTGTAATCTTTCATACGGAGTTCAGAAACCAATTTACGAATGTGACCAAGTAGAGTCTCAGTTATATATGACAGAAGCCCCTCACTTCTACTATCTAGTGATGACACGCAAGGTAATGAGTGTGAGTACTAGATTTAGATGCACAGTCAGAGCGCTAATAGAAAAACACTGAATTAGAAATCACCTGCCATTAAAGATAATCCAACAAGTCTGAGAATCCCAGCAAGAGGCTGGTATAGTTTAACACTACCCACATTACTGAACCAAGGGGGCATACGAGGAAGCTCATAGCCCTCTGCTTTCATAGGTTTTTGTCTATTATTTTCCTCAATAAGGCTGTACTTTGGAGCTTCCAACAAGCCAGCATTCATAATAGGAAGACCAGGACATAAGAAATTAACACCAGATTTCAAGTCATCAACAGAGGGTAGGTACGCCAATGTTGATGATCTTGAAATGATTTTGTCAAGTGAACCAGAGAACTCTGATCTATGGCTTAGACATGCGGCAAATACATCCAGGAATCTAGCAGCTCCCACCTAATCAGGTTCACGCAAAAGGATATATGTCAAACAAGAAATAGGAACATGTAATACTTATATACAGAAAGTATATTTGATCAAGAAATAATTTAATGGCATAACTAAAGATGAATCTAATTATTGCAAACTAACTTCTTCCAGAATCAATTATCACATTAGAGTATTCCCAAAGCAGAAAAATTACAGCAACCAAATAATTTTTTCCCGCGTCAAAATTGCAAGATACTCCGATTTTGTATGGTAATGCATCATCAGTATCCAAAATATATAAATCCAAAAAACAGAGATGTGTAGAAGTAAGTAAGAGAATTTATGAAGGAAGCACATACAGGAGACTGAAGTTGATCGAACATTAGACGAGGACCAGAATAATATATTATCACTAATAACTGTTGCGCATTCAACACTGCATGGGACTCCTCATTGCCAAGCACCACTTTGGGAAGCTTTTCAACATGCCTAAATTTTAAAGAGGTATCAGGAAGAGAAAAGGGAAACCATCAAGAGTAAGTAATTTGCATCCATAAAAATTTACCTGCTAAATATTTCAGAAGCATCCTGTTCTAGAAGAGGCTTCCAGTTTAGAGAGAATAAATATTCAAGATACTCTTGTGCAGTAGAAGATACATCATCAGAATCATCAACTACCAAAGCACATAAGCACTCCTGCATAATTAGTGACATGAAGATTAGAAAAGGAAAAAAAAAAAAAACAAAGAAAAGGAGACCAAATGAAAACAAATATCCTCTAAATCCCAATCGAGAAAACATGTTGAGGACAAAAACCCTATCAGAATTAATTTCCATTTAACCGGTTCAAAGCTCACCAAAAGCATCAGTCTACTCTCTCCCAGAGTGTAGTGGCAGTTCAATAGAAGTCCTTGTACAGCATTAACAAGTCCCTTTCTCACCTTTTGTGAAGGGTGAATACAGATCTGAAATTCAATAATTTCACCAATTACATAAAACATTAAAGCAATGTATACAAACAGACGCATGCCTAAATGCATGTATGAATATAAACAACTGGAAGACTACAACAAGGCCAAGCCAATAAATTTCCTTAAATAAGAAGTATGAGCATACATGTGGAAATGTTACGTTCAACAGCTTCTTTAAATGAGCTGATGTTTTCTCCAACCAATCTTTTGTTCGATTCACATGCAAAGATCCAATAGCTTTGCTACAATCACCACTCTTTTCTTGTAGTTCAGTGTTTGAACAAGGGATTTCCCCCAACTCATGCCTTGTATCTTCAATCACTTCATTTTGAAGTTGAGCTTTAACAGGCAAGCGACGGAGCTCCTCCAAAAGAGACACAGTGGATTCACAGTTATCAGAACCAAAGTTAGATGAAGCTTCAACACCCATGACAGGTGCATTAGCATCATCCCTGAGGACTATCATAAGATACTCAGTCAACCCTCTAATTGCTTGATCAATAGCCTCTGCACTACCAGCCGCACCACTCATCATCGTTTTAGCACTGTGCAAAACTTTGGCAAATTGACTAACAACACCAGGTAAAAAGAAGGCTAATGCATCTGCAGTACCGACCTGCAAAAATCCAGTCAGCTTCCCTCATAACAGAAGAATCGATGAGTTACAGAAATTACTGAAGCAGACAAAAGTGGGTTAAAAAAATTAGCTCAACAGAACTCTCCAATTTCTCAGCTGAAAATAATCTCAGCTGAAAAATAAACACCCCCAACCCAAAAAATGATATTTATCTGATCTAATAGCATATATAATCTAACAAAGTGCACCAAATACCAGCAGAAGAGAAACTTTCCACAAAACCTTACAAGCTGTTTAAAGAACCTGTTAAATATACTACCTTAGCAACCAGCAAGCGGAGAGTTCTAAAGGCTTCAGTTCTCAGTCTTGCAGAGCCTCGATGTCCTCTTGCAGCCTCTGTATCTGCAGCCTTTTTATAAAACCAGGTATTATAAACTTCCAAGGCGTGATTTAACTAAATTTTGACAACAGAAGAAAAGGCATGTCCTCATATAGGTTCCTTTCAAGCAATTGTTTTCTACTTTGATTCCTAAAACTTATCTTGCGTTATGGAGAAAATGCGCATATACTAGTGACAAATTTTGGTTATTTTGTTATTAAGTGAAAGTTAGGAAACAAAAGTGGGAAAGTTCACTGTTTTAAAATGAACTCCCACTGGAATTTCAGTAGGAATGCCCAACAACCAAAAAATCAACATACTTTTAGAAGAAGAGACAGCCAGTGTCCAATGGCTGCTGATGCATCTTGAGAGCGAAGAAAAGCAAGTAAACAGACTTCTGATTCTGCAGTAGTTTTGGAAGATTTCCAATGAGGCGTATCATCTGTGTCCTCTGAAAGTGCAGGAAAACCAGGAATTTGTTCGCATGAGCACGACTCATCAGAACAGGATTGTAAACTCAGAAGCAGTGCCCTGAAACACAAGATAATTCCTTCACGAAACTCCTCCGAAGCCTCAAGTGGTGAAAGCAAAGCCCCGTATGTTAATTTCTTTAGGACTACAACCATCTGTTGAGGAATGTCATCACAGTTTAGTTTCATCAACTTCATTCCACTTGTGTAAACAAACATCACAGCTCAAGTTTTCATATGGCCTCTGCAGGGTGTTTTAACAAACGAAACAGCATGCAGCAAGTGGAAAACTTGACAAAGACTGTTCCTAGCATTTAACAATATAATCGAGGCACTTAAGCACTTACTCATCTTCATTGACTATGTATTACTTGATGGCTTTTAAATGATAAGGAATTTGTGCTTCATACAATTGCAAGTCCGGGGCAATTAAAAAAGAGTTGATTCTCATTGACCATGCATTGCTTGAAGCCTTTCGATGATAAAGAAATTTTTACTTGATAGAATTCTAGAAAATGTAAACAAGTCAACAACAGACTTGTACTGAGGTGTGAGGCTGAGTTAAAAGACCATTGAAATTCATGTAATACAACTTCCTCTTTAACACTTGAAAGTACTATCTTTTGCACATCATTATATCTCATGTATAAAATTATGGAGCAAAATATAGTCCCAGTAGCTTAATAAGCATTTGAATAAAGTAATTTTACTCTATATATTGATGTAAAAAATGGATAGAGATTACATCATAAAGGATGTAAAACCATCTAAGTGAGTTTTCAAAATAATATGTAACACAAAAAATTGAAGAAAACCCCGATAGTGGTAACAAGGACCTCCATCTTGCTGAATAATATAGATTTATAAAATAATATTGCACTAGATGTCTCTCTGTGTTCCCAGTTTTAAACTTATTTGGAGGGTAGTTCCCTGTATTTCCTTCTAAAACACAGTACGTTTGTGCCTTGAGGACAAAAAATTCAATTCGTAGAATTGAAAATGCTTGATGTATTCCCTGTTTCAATATGTTCAGTCCAGCATCATCATGCATCAGGAGTGGATTTCCACATTTTTCCAAACCCCATTTCTATTTGATTCATTTCTCCTGATCTCCTTTTCCTCATGTTAAAATGGCCAGAGAAGGGTTATCCCTATTACACATCCTCAACATATAATTATTCAGACGTAGTTCAGTAGTATATAAAATATAAAATGAAAAGTAAATAAAGGCTTAAAGAAGCTTTTCAGATATTTGTATTACAGTTATTCAAGACGTGAATGAAAATCAGCCCACCTGATCCACAGATTTCAAATGACACTTCTTCAGAAGTTCCTCTAAACAACAAACAACGCCTTCTGCCACAGTATCACTCACTGGATTAGGTGGTTTTGGTACATCAGACGTTGTAAAATTTTCTTTAGAACCTACTTTTGGCGTAGATCTGCATTCAATGGCAGCATCCAGGAGCAAAAGTAATGGGAACAAAGTGTAACTGGGGGGAAAAAAGTATATAGTTAAGGCCATATTCAAGGCTGAAGTAAGAATCAAACAATCATATAAAATGAACCAGCGGAATTCAACGACTAAAGCTTCAGGATTTAAAGCATGACTTTTTATATTACAGCAGAGAAAAGTTTGGAAAACACTGAAACAGATGCCCACCTCAACTGTATTTCCATTAAAGGCATGACAAGCTCAATCACAATACTTATCTTTTGCGTAATATCCATATAAAATATGTTTGAATGTTGGTCACACAAAGAACATGCCCGGCCACGAATCATTTTTTTTTTTTTAAAAAAAAAACACGACTATAAGATTTGAACGTTATCAGGTCAAAATGAGTAACTCTCCCAATGTACTATTTTTTATTTTCTTAGCCAAGACATTTCAGAGAACAGCACAATGCCCAAACGGGATCGGTTAAAATAGGGTCAAAACGCTTGTCCCTGGTGGATTCACAAAGGGATTGCAAAGCCCTTTTAAGCCAGTTTTTGTGTAAATTGTGCAGTTTTTCTCTCGCTATTCCTGGGAGGATTACGTGTCCTTTGTTGACGTATTGTTTTCCAGTCTCATCAATGAATCGTTTCTCTCAAGAAAATTTGGAAAGGATTTATTTGCACTACCCAAAGCCAAAAGTATGATCACTAGCAAAACTTATTGACATAATCAAAACATATCAATCATGACTTCAGTAGACAATAAAATCAAACGCAGATGTTAAAAAGCGCCAGCCTTTTCACGGTCATTTCATCCTTCTTTCTAATACATTAGTATAAATATCTGTAAATTGCTACCACTTCATATCGTTGAAAGTTAAGCCAGTATAGAGAAGTTTCTTTAAATAAATAAGACTTGAGTTGGGTGATGCATGAATATGTAAGAATTCTATGTAAGTGGCCATACTCGAAGAAGGGCTGTAAGGTACTGGATGAAGAATTCTGAAGAAAGTGACGAAGCGAAGGAATTACAGAAGCATGCTTCTTGGGGTTCCGCACAAGCTCCAGAAGCTCTAAACAGTAAGATTTTAACCGTAGGAAGGCACTGCTTCTGAGTGCCTCACCTTGCTGGCCCTCTACTAATTCTCCTAAGCTCAAATCTCCAATCATTTTCCCAATATCTTCCATCGGAAGCACTATTTTTCGCTTCCAGTGGATTGTAAATGTAACAATGGAAAATCTGAGCGATTATTTCGGTCCAAAAATGAAATCTTTCAGTTCGAACCAAGCAGTGCGCAGCTTTTCATGAAGAGGTCAGAGTTTTATATAGCCGGGAAAAGGTTTCCCCGGGTTCTCTTCTCCCGCCACTGCCCCTGCGCGGTATGGACCCTGCAGTTGGTTCCAGAACCATTTTTGAGTCAGGAATTTTCGAAATGTTTTTCTTTTACATTTTTCTAATACAGTAAAAATAGATACGGAAGATACTACTGGAACGTTTAAAATCATCCAAAAATACTTCTTTAAAAGGTTTTTTTATAAAATGAGATAAACTCCTTTATATATTTATTTTATATATTATAAAAATATTTTTAAGATCATAATTTTAATTCCATCTAAATACTTTCTCAAAATACCTTCCACCGTGAGAAGGGGAAAATAATCCTAAGGACCTGAGTGGTAAAATACATGAGATTGTCAATAAGAGGTCTTATCATTTATAAGCTGTTTTTAAGAATTAATAGCCCCTCTCAAATGATTTTAAAAAAAGGTTGCAAATTCCCATAAAACATTGGGCGACAAACGTACATGTAATCGTTTCAATTTACAACTTACAAGCAAGAATTCATAACCGTGGTGGCAGGAAATATTTTTTATAATTTTAGTTAATAGCCTTATTGTTTAAAGACGTAATCATATTTTTTTAAAAAAAAATCATAACTCCAATTTATAAGTGACCAACTGACCGTTGTCATTTTACGAGTGGTAAAAAGTGTGAATGCGAAGTTTATTTATTTACAAATTCTCTTTTATATTTTACAATCCCATTTCACATTATTCACGTGTGATATCGTATTAAATTCTCATGAATTAACAACTCCTCTAAAATGATTTATTAGAAATTTTCTAAAAATTTCGTATGTGATTAGTGAAACTGCCAACATTTATTTCAATTTAAAAATCCTGCTTAAGAATTTGTAACTCTTCAATTCTTAAATGATTAACAAGTGATCATTCGAAAATGAAATATGTGTGGGTTGTGAATATTGAGTCTACATATTAGTTGATAACTCCTCTTTCCTAAATTACGATTTCTTCTTTTTGCCAGCCATAATCTACAATCTCATCTCATATAATTCCCAGTGATTCATAAGCAAAAATATGTAGAATTATGAATACGGAGTTATATCATTTGCACGTGAACCCAACTTCACGTTCATGCATTCACGTCTAACCTTCTCTCGCATTTTATGGGGTTCATGACTCGTGAGTTTCCAGCATGAGTCTAACGTCAGATCATAATTGAAGATGATGTAACTTTTGAGTAGAAAAGCTCCTCCTCCATAATTTTATTTGGTCGAGATGCTTCAATTGGGAGACTTCTCTTCCATGTTTTTAACTGCATAATCCCAATTTCTCTTTCATTTGATGTCCAAGCCATATGGTTAAAGCTTCCTGTGTTTCTATGTATTCGGGTCCTTGATGTCTCAACTTCAACTTAGACTTCTATGATACCAGAAGCAATTGCATCGCTCTTGCACCGCTTCTCCAGAAAGAAGGATTTTTTTAGCAAGGTCTTTCCATTCGCGCTGTTCTTCTGAAGGCAGCTTGCAATCTAATGTTTACATCTCCCTTGCACGCAAAGTGTCTGATAAAATGTGTGAACGCAATCTTATATCATGGTTGGCTATGATATCTGGATATGACCGATGTGGGGAGCAATGGTTTGCACTTGGTCTGTTTTCTAAAATGCAGCTTCCTCATAATGAATACACATCTGCCACTGCGGTCAGTGCTTGTGCTAGTCTTGCGACACTTGAACTGGGGCTGTAGATTCGCGCTCAAACAATCAAGTCCTGTTACGAAAGCATTTCCTGTGTTTCCAACTCGCCTATCTCTAGGTTTGCATGTAATCAGGCAGGATTGTTGGACAAGGGCAAGCTTTACCTCAATTCCATGAAAGAAACTAAGAAAGTATGGAATCACCCCCAATCTTGACCATTTCTCATGTCTTGTTGAAATGCTTGGACAATCTGGAAGAATATCTGGGCCGGGAGATTACTTGAAGAAATTCCATCAATGGGATGATCCTATTGGATCAAGGAGCTTGCTTTGGGCGTGTAGGCTACATGAAAATATAACCACAGGGAAATGGCTTGCTAGGTAGCCTTTTTTAATTTCAGCCTTTAAGTTCTTCACCCTATGTCCATGCTTCAGATGAGAAGTGGGGCGAAGCTGCACGACAATAAATGCGATTTCTATTATACTCATCTTTTTCTGGTCTGCTCTTCAACTTAACCCTGCTAAATTTGGGCATACGCACCTTACCTCTGCGTCACCCGGAAAAAAAAAAAAAAAAGAGTGGGGAATTGTTACGATTAATTTTTACCATCAGAACAGGTACGCGTCTACGAATTTTTTCTAATTTTCTAGACGCGATTTTTTAAATTCAACCAGTTACTTGTAAACTTAAAGAGTTCCTTAACTATTTTAGCTCAAATGCTTACATTGGAGAAGAACGGGGCCTCCCTCAATATGATACAAAGGAAATAGTTTTATTTTTTAAAAAAAAATCCTCTTTTTTTTTTTTTTTTGTGGGGAGGGGCCGGGGTTGGACCAAACAAAAGGATCTATTGTTACTTCCTGCTCAATTCTTCACTCAAAGTACCAAATGTAGCTAAGATGGGTACTTGCTCACAAATTCCGGAGCATGCTGGTTAGCAGATGGATACGATTATAAATAGAATAACAATAAATAACAGAAATAAGCAGGCGTCTTTGAACAAGTAACCGCCAGATCTTACCATTATAAGCATTACTAATGATAGCGATTAGTAACTTCATCGACAGTTCATAGTCTCTTCATAAAATGAATCACCTTTAGAATGAATTTCCGGCGCTCGCAGCTTTCACTCCCCATTCTCCAAAATCAGCTTACGCTTACAGAGAACCACATTTGACATTTTACGCTTTTATAAATCGAAAGCACACAAACAACAAAACTTTTGCTGAGATGGCTGGTTCCGAAATCATCTATCCCAAACCAGAAAGCTGAATTTAACCAGCAAAGTACTGTTTGTTTTATTGAAAAAGAAAAAAGTAGTGGATATGAAGTTCTGTTTTCAGAGGAATGCTGCCCGAATAATATCCTCGCTTACTCCCCTCATGATTGAAAAATGACAATCCGAGAAAGGTTGAAGGGGGGAACATAAAGTCGCATCGTGACAATAAGTGGCTTCCTACTTGGGAGTGGTGAAAGAAGCATTTTGCATTTGGTGGAGCCTACGCAAAGTGGGAGTAACCAAAAAGTCAAGCGCATCCGTGTTTCAGACACAATCTTGGATAACATTGGATTTAAAAGATACCCGGTGAATTTACTTTCCCTCAGAGAACTGCTCGGAGGAAAAGAGGATCACTGCTTAGCTTCCTGGCTTCCCTCCATGGAAATGCCAACATCACAAAGGAATCAAAACTAACAAATGAGATCACTCCTCAGAGAAACCCGACCTAATTTTAGAACCTATAGGTCAGAGTATAACTGATTAAGAATGCCTTATTATCTGTGTGCCACGATTTCAGTGTTGACAAAGGCACTTCAATGAAAAAGCCAATACCCTTGTAGCTTAAAAGCTCCTTTATAGGTTCTTGCTTATAAAGCAATTAGTGCCTGCTCCTCTAACCCCCCCCCCAAAAAAAAAAAAAGCACTTAATGGAAAGCAAGTACCGGGAGAAGAAAGCGGCAAAGAAGCAGCAGTATTATGCATCTCGTGTTTTCCTGATCAATTCTGAATTTATATGGTCTCTAAACACCAATACAAAATTAAAGTGTTCCAAGACAGAAGACTTTGGAAGGAATTCCATTCCAAGAAACATGAATCAACTATAATGCCTTTTTCAAAAGAAGCAACTACAGCAACCTCCCAATTATGTCAGATGCATATCAGTTCTTCTGAATGGAATGAATTGCAAGACAAAAGACGAGAAATTCATTAAGTTCATAAAGTTATATGAATAAATTGGTTGCAGAATTGGGAAAATGCAAATAGCAACGCTTTTCAACTCTGAGCCATCTGCAAACATTCCTTTAGCTTTGAAAAATTGGAAAATATCTCCTTCAGCTATCACCCTTAAAGTTTAAACCCTATTGCTCATGTTGTCGCTGACTCTTGTAATGAAGATGTTGGTAGGAGAAATATCTTTTAATGCTCAAAGTTGGAGGTGCTAGCAATTGGCTCGAAGTTGGGAGGGTGACACTTGCAACTTTTTTTTTTAAAAGGAAAACTCTGATGAAGAGCAGCTTATTATACAGGGCATTAAGATTTAAGAGACAAGTTTCAGAACCTTCATTAAAATTAGTTCACTAAATATTCTGAACAAAGATGGCATGGTTTTCTAATAAAGTAAGCAATCAGATTTATGTTTCAGTTCGCTAACTTTTTTGCTCAGATGGATCGTATCTGGTTATAAATTATATTCTAGCACTCAGTTGTTTTCTTGTTTCAACTTGAAACATTCTCCACACAAGTTTAGAATAAGGATTCTGATTCCAGCTTAAAGCGTTGAATCTCATAAATTCTAATACCAAAAACCCAAGATTCGCGGTGTATGTACATTTGACTCCAGCTATAAATTATTCGATGCTTTTTGTCAAGACTCAACATTTAAGTTCAACAAAAACTAAATGACATACTAAATCAAACCTAAGTGAACTTTGAAAGATCATATGCCACAACTCATGCAAGGAGATTCAACCAATCAAAGTTCAAATTGTTGAACTTAACTCAAGAGGGAGAAAAACATAACTTTATGATTCCAACAATCCAAGTGTCCGCAAACAGAGGGCATGCTTAGCAAAATCAGCACGTGGCACAGGAGGAAACTTGAAATTGCATTGAAGCGGTGTGATCATGTGGATCCAAATTCTATATACAAAGTGAGCTAAAGAGCTAGCTTCATGAAACTTCCAGTAAACAACATTGCGCAAGTTTCAATTAAAGAGGAAGGGAAAAAAGAAAAGAAAAAGAAAACCGTAGTAGGCAAGTGAAAAAGTTTGCAAAGAAGATGAAAATCACCAAATATAATATATTACATAAATAGTATAGAACATACCATTTAGAAATCAACCCGATATCGCATCGGTTCCACCAGAACCTGATGCCCCATTAGCAGTAGAGGTAATCACCTTCTTCTTCCTTTCCTCCTCATAGTCCTGGTCATCCGTTGGAAGCTCAAACCTGCACACTGGGCATGAGTTTCTGGAGCCCAACCAGGGCACTATGCAGTCCCCATGGTACTGATGTCCACAGGGCAATCGCTTTGCCATGCTTCCCACACCCACCATATCTTTGCATATCGCGCACACCAAAGCTTGATCCTCTGAGACAATCTCCACCGTCGGCAGCGACTCCACTGCAGATTTTGCAGCCGGTGGAGCCCCTCTTCTCCCGCTTCCGTCGCTTTCCGCCATGGTCAGCAGCAGAGCTTCATAATCAGCAGCATCGACGTAATCTCCCGGGTTCCCGAAAAATCGATCCGAATCAGGTACCTGAAGTCTCAGCTCTATGGAATTGTCTTCAAGACCCATCAGTATATCAGCCCAGTCCAAGATCCTGTTCCTCCTGCTCCTCGTGCCGGTTGCCAAATCTCTGATCCGACTGGTCAAGTCTCTGATCCGGTTCCGCATACTCCTCCTTCTCAGATCTTCTTCGGTTTCATCTCCACTTGGGTCCTCTTCTCCTAGTCGATCTTCGTGCTCTTCGGCACCTTCCTGCTCTTCTCCTTCATCGTGAAACTCCACCCCATCATCTTCGTCGTCCTCGTCGTTGTTATTGTTGTTGCTGCTTTCTCCATCATCATCCCAATCCTCGAACTCAACCCTGAGAATATCATCGCCTGAGGAGCGGTTTCGAGACGGAGGTGGAGGCGCGTCTTCATCACGCGCCGATTCTGCAAGTAGACGAAGTACGCGCAGGAATTGCGATTCGAAATGAGGATCGTCGATCAGATCAGAAGTCGTAGAGGGAGGAGCCAAAGACGGGGAAGCAATCGATTCGACGAAGCCATGCTTGCACTCGCGACAGAGAATGTCAGGGCCCTCCGGATGCGTTTCTACGGACACACGCTTCTCGCAGTGGTAGCACCAGTACTGCGAATCATCAGAATCCAGCAAGGGTTGCTCAGGCGCCGGAGAGGGTGAGTCAGCCATGCTTTCTCCGACGAGCAGATACCAAGATACGGCGGAGAAGGGACCCACCTGAGTTTAGCTGAGAAGTGAAAGAATGAACAAAGGGCAGAGAGGGAGGCGAAGGTTGTTGGGTGTGGAACGAGGATAATTAATAAAAAAAAATAAAAATGGACCAAGACTAGCCTCCATTATTTTGTTAATTAAATTAATAAATAATCAAAAATTAATTAATTGCACTCCTTATCTGGATCGTTGATTTTGAGGATAGAGTCGCGCCACTATATCATGGAATCACTCGAGAGGAAAGAGAGGGGGGGGGGGGGTGGAACGGAGTCTGTTAAATTATACGTACGTGCTACGATATCTCCCTGATGAAGATCCTAACGTGTCCTCAGTCCTCTATTGCAAGTTTCTTTTTCTCTTTTATTTTTTTTATTTTTTTAAGCTTGTCCCGCCAAGGCGCCAAATCAATTCCATTGATTGTTCATAGAATAATTACTTGGTCTAAACTACGCAATCAGTTTGAATATTTTGAAGTTTTCTATTGTTTGTTTGTTTTTTTTTGCCAACATATGTTTTTTATGCTATGTTTGTAGTGAATATCAGCCTCTAAATCTATTCATTTCGCCTTTCACAAAATGATTATTTGACAAATCTATTTATATCTATCAGAATAATTTGGTTATTCAAAATTACAATAATTAAAATTTCTTTTTTATAATTTTTATTCCATATATCAAGGGGCCGAAATTCAAATTTTGGGGCATGCGTATTTTCCTCTATTTCATGCTTTGATAACCTTATTTTGGATCGATCATAATTTGTGTGTACGATTTGATCGGTCATATTTTGATGATTGAAGAAATATAAGTACTAATTCCATAACCTGAGCAGATAATTATTCTTCTAAAGTTGAACTTTTGATATTTGCTAAATGAATAAGTAATCAAGAAGGTATAAAAATAAAAACTTAAATTATTAAAAGACGCTCACATATTAGAGCAATGAGTGTTTTCCTATTTCACGCTTTGATAACTTATATTTTTTGATCGATCATATTTTGATCATTGGAGAAATATACGTACTAAATCCTCATCTTGACTAGATAATTATTTTTTCAAAGTTGAACTATTGACATTTGCTAAATAAATAAGTAATCAGGAAGGTATAAAAATAAAAAAATTAAATTAAATTATTAGAAGACGCTATCATATTAGAGTATGTTTAACATACATATATATGAATTGAATAGTTTTTGACAACCAATTAATCTGAATTGATCGAGATTAAACTTCTGAAAACGACATTTATGACCAGAAGCTACAACTAGCCATTGGGTGAAATGTCAAGTTCAACCTGGACACAACGTTACAGGTCAGAACATTTGAAGCAAAGTTCACCCGTTGGCGGGGGCAAAAAACACAAAAAGTTCACCCACCAAGCATACATCGCAACGCAGAACAACGAATTTTGAGGTGAAATAGGTCCCAATGATGTGAGGATTTTCATGCACAAGGCGAACCAAGGAACAAATGCAAAGAGAGTAAGGCAATAATTTGCAAATGCAGAAAACAAATATACAAATACAGACCCAATTTACAACTCGGGATGAAACTGATATGATACACATGATACTAGATGCATCCACTTCACATCTCCAAATGTCTTCATCTTCAGATGATACCAGCCTTGTTAAATTATCATAGCATCAGAAAAGCTTAACAGGTTCACTGATGCTGCCATTGAAGTTAACTTTACAGCATTCAGGAAAATGCAACCCAGCCTCATCGCACCCAGCCTTGGTAACATGTGGGCAGGACCTTACATCCAAATATTCTAGATAATTGCATTTGCCCAAAAGAATGCCTATACCTGCCACTGTGATTTTTGGACAGTTATTCACCTTCAGAACCTTCAAATTCAGAGCAGCTTCTTCACTGCTTAAGTGGAATGCAGCATCTGTCACCTCTTCACAGCAGCCAATGTCCAGAGCTTCAAGGCTTCTGCACTGATTTAATATACAGCTCAATGATGAGTCAGAGATGTTTAAACACCAATCCATCCGCAAGTTCTTTAGATTTCTTCTACCAGAAGTAGCCAGTGACTTTATTGCATCATCGGAGACATCCCGGCAACCACCAATGATTAAAGTCTCAAGATTGTTACAGAATTCAGCTAAGGATATTATAGTTTCATCCCCAATTTTATCGCAATCTAACAATTTCAGTGTCTTGAGAGAAGACGAACAAGCCTTGGAAAGGCAAGAAACCCCTACATCACCAACATTACTGCATTTGTTGATGTCTAAATACTTAATTTGTTTACAGCCACTTGCAAGGCTCGTCAGTCCTTTGTCTGTAATACTTGCGCATCCTTGCAAGTCTAACTCTTCTAAATTATGACAGTTTTTGGAGAGAGCTTCTAATATTCCATCTGTAACAAATCTGCATCCCGCCAGATGCAATATTCGTAGGTCAGGACACCCCTTGGCAACTGCTGATAACCCCTTGTCTGTCAGCTTTCTGCAGTAGGATACATCCAAAGACTGCAATGCTGAAAGACCCTCACCAATTGCAGCCATTCCAACATCTGTGATCCCTATATATTACCAACACAACCAGTATCCTGTCAATTTTGTTTTGAAACTTTCAAACTAAATAAGTGGATGATATTCTGAAAACTTAAGAACATAACATCACTCCAATTTGATCATGTGAAATTTTATGATACTACAGTCCCCCCAAGCCAAAATGCAAATTTTTCCTTCTTTTTCTAACTCTTTCCCCTTTATCCATCTATTTATAACTTGCTTCACCCTCTTCATTTACATATTACAACTGCGAGACCATAAAGGAAGGAGGGAAGGATTATTCGTTCACCCTTTAGAGTGCGAGAGTGACAGCAAGGATCTTTGCTAGCAAGCAAAAACACCTTTTAGAGTAAAGTCATACATCATGTGAAGATAGGTTCGAATATTAGACTTCAACATTTTCGGAACCAAGACCCCGGTTTCGAGGGGCACAAGTCACATGTCATGAGTAATCATAATCATTCTACCGACAGACAATGAAACCAGTGCAACAGCGGAATAAAGACAGCAATTACCACAAAATAAAAGGGTAATGCTCAAGCCCCACAGACAGCAAATACTAGGATAGACATTTTATCGATAATAACCACCATAACTGACATAAAACGGTGCAGAAAAGTTGGAAATGGGAGTCAATACGAGTTCATTCAAGGATCACAATCGCAAAAGTAAGAGATAAAAGAAGGAGGAGGAGGAGGAGAGAAAAGATGCCCACCTTTACAATTTTGCAAATTGAGCACCCTCAAGTATCTGAAGCCATTGGCAATAACAGAGAGGTCGGAATCGGTAACCCCTGGATAGAAAGAGCGAGAACTTGATTGAGAGAGATCGAGCTCGACCAAGCGGGTGAACCGGGCAGCCATTCGGCGGAGCATGTGGGGCCCCGCACGAGCAGCAAGCTTCTTCCTCTCGGTGCTCTGTAAGTGAAGCCATCTCTTACAAACGAGCCCGAAGATATCCCTGTCCTTGTCGTCGTCGAGCCTGGCCAGGATGGACCGGAGCTCATCATCCGTCAGAACGTCGTTTATGCAGAGGGCAGAGTCCGAAACGGCGTCGGTCGAGGCCATTCAGGGGTATGCCGATCAAACCCCAGCCCTAATTCCACCCCCAAATATTCTTTGGGGGGGGCTAATGGCAGAGAGATTAGCAGAGGCCGTGAAATAAACGGTATATATATGGGGTTAATATAATGTTTGACACTTGAAGTTTGCGCTTATTTTTTATTTTAATTTTTAAAATTTAAAATTATAAATTTTACTAGTTCTTAAAAAGTAAAATAATCTAAACTTTTATTAAATTTTAAAAATTAATATCTTAAATTTAAAAGACTAAAATTAAAACTAAAATAAAGGTTGATTTAAATTGTGATAATTTATATTAACCCTGTATAATATCTCTGCGTTTCTCTCGGGGGTGTGAAAAGTGCTGGTTATGAACGAATAGTCGAATACAATAATAATACCTGTAGATGACAGTTGACAAGCTCCGCTACCAACTGATATCTTTCGCTGTTCATCTAAACGTAAAGTGCAAACCAAGCTGCCGACGGTTGAAACCAGGCTGAGATGACCCCCATTTTCTTTTTCAGCTTCTTCTTCTTCTTCTTGCTTTTTAGTCAAATCAGCTTCATCTTCTTTACTCACAGCAATATAATGCATTGACGATGGAAATGTAAAAGTAAAATAATACGGTAAATAATTACCTGATTTTATAAAAATCACATAAAAGAACGAAAACTTGATAAAAAATTCAATGAAAAATTAATTAAAACTATAAGAATTTGCATATTATTAATTATCCCTAAAATGCAAGTTTCATGCGCAGCTCTCCAGTTTCCACATTGAAGAAGATCCAACAACATTTTCCCGCCTGAACAATGACCCTCCTTGGCTCAAGAGTCTGGATTCTTGTTAATTAAATCATTTTGAATAATTTTAGGACTAAAGTGCATTGGACATCTGGAAATATTTTTTCTAGTGTATCCAGCATTCTAAAATATTTTGTAATGTATCAAACATCTTGAAATATTTTTCAGGTACGTGTGGCACCTTAATTTTTTTCTTTACTTGATACTGGATATATGAAAAAAAAAATTTGGATGCTAGATGCAGAAAAAAAATCTTTTAAAGTGTTAAATACACTAAAAAATACTTCAAAGTGTTAAATATATTTAAAAAAGTATTTCAGAGTACTATATGCATCTAGAAAAATACCTCAAAACATTTTAACTCTAAATTCTAATCGTTTAGATTGTTTAGAAAATAAAACAACTAATTAATTAAGGGTCCAGTAACATATCCTTGTCCAAGTTAGTGTTCAGTTGGTAGGTCGTTTAAGAGTAGTTTTCACTTTTCAGGCCTTAATTGGAGCGTCATGATTTTTGCTGTCGTTTGACCGCGGACCACTTCGCTTTCTTTTTCGTAATTTGTGTTCTCTTTCTGCTTTTACTTCTCTTCTGCTTACATTTTCGTCTTCTGCCCGTTTTTCTTCTTTTTCTCCCCACACTTTGTTTTATTCTTTAATCCTGTAACTCGTACACATTGAGGCCAAAAAAAAAAAACCTATATGCGTCAACTAATTAATATGTTGGACCTTGAGTTGTGATAGTGTGCGTGCGTGTGTGCGTGCGTTGGATTACAAGTCAACGGCACAAAAGCGTTAAGGGCTGGTTTAGATTACCGTTTGGAATGCCAAAAACACATAGAAAATCGTAAAAATGAGATTTGTGACTTATTACAGTTCAGAAAATTGTTTGGATTGAGTTTCGTTTTTAACTGACTTATCCAATACAATCTAAATCAACTTTTTTAACTGATTTATGAAAAAATTGTGCAAAGTTTACGATCTAATTAGTTATGTGATTCTATTTACTTTAATTAGAGATCAAATAAATTTTAATTTATATTCATGTTTGTTCATTATGTATATTTAATTAATTATCTACAATATATTTTCAAATTTTTCTCCGTAACAAATATTTTTATTTTATAATTTTACAAATAAACTATTTATATTTTATCATAATAATTTTACGTGTTTCTTTAAATTATTATCACATTAAAAATATAAAATTTCAAACACTATTCTATATTCTTTTCAGTCATTTTATAACTAAACTAACTTTTCTATTAATCATCCAAACAACTTTTGACTTTTTCAACTGACTTTTTAAAAACATCTATCCAAACATAAATTGCATTACACTAACTGACTTTTATTCTAACTTCAGTTACAAGAGTTAGTTGGGTTAGAAGTCAGTTTTGCCCAACACCAATCCAAACATACCCTAAACCAGTTCAATCTCAAATCTCAAAAAATCCATGTAATGGAGAATATAAAAATACGTTTACATTCAAAGTTTTACATAATACCAGCTCCAATTTTTAATATAAAACCTTGTTTGACTTTTAGTTTGATCCTAAATATAAGACCCAAATCCACTTTCTTTCTCATATTTATATATATTTTTTTCAAAGTAACCCTTCTAACAATGATAGTTCTAGTCAATACACTTGATTAGCAAGGATATTTTAGGAAAGACAACATCTATTTAGAACAAATAACTAACTCAACTTGCATTCTTAATCTCCTCAAATTAGTCAACTAACTCTTATAATTAAGACCAGAGATAGTAATATATATTAACTAGAGTTACCATTTAATAAAATATTTAATATATATAACTATTATAATGATTATTTTTGAAAAAAAAATAGATGAATCAGAAAAACAAAATAGATTGAAATGTTATATTCAGTACCAAATTAAAAGTAAAATAAGTTTTTATATTAAGGATTTAAAGAATTTTATGTAATCTCAAATTTTCAAATGGTAACCATGGAATTGAACGGTGCCACTATGTTACATTTGCAGATCTGGACTTGAAATAGGACCTCAAAGTTTACAGAGTCTTGTCCTTGACAAGGAATGCGTTAATTTACTGGCATGACATGCACGAAGGAAACAGCACAGCATAGGTGGAACTACGCCTCATTTGCATTATAAATATACCAGTTTAGCAATCAGAGCATAAGCAGCATCAATCAAGGATGGCTGCTTCGAGGATTAATCAACTATTAGGGCTTGCAAGCAGAAGCCACGAACATAGGAACTAGTGAGAAGACTGGGAACGAGTGAGCACACACTCGTCAAAGAATTGGGTAAGCTGAGAACTATACAGTTTTGGGTCATTTCTGAAGTGATCGACGTGGGGCGTGGATACAAAATTGCACGCCCTCACATCATGCCCAGCCTTGCGCTGCTTCTCCACAAATGATTCCACAGAACCAGCAGGTATAACTCTGTCTGCTGAGCTATAGATGTATAACTGAGGACAGTTGGGTTGCTTTGAAGACAACATGTTCAACACATCAGTGAGCCTCCTGCAAATGTGATTTCACATTATTATGATAGACCATGTGTATTCATATAGAAGGTTTCTGTAGAATATTATCTTTTAATAAGAATGACATGCAAAAGCTACACATATCTGTTGGACATGGAATATGACAGACAAGTTGATAATCCTGTTAAAGGTTCGTAATAAGGTTAGGTAGTTAGTCAATTTCAGATTCATCCAAGCATGTCTTTGTACTTCATACTTTCTATAAATAAGTACACATGACATCCCGAAGCAATGAGTTTTTATGTACTAGAGTTGTTGAGGATTAGTCATCTCCCATGAGTCAACATTATTGAGATTAATTATACCTAGGTCAAATAACTACGTCCCTGGACCTGCGATACCAGCGTTCCAGAACATCACATTCATCAAGCTCTCCAGCTGGGAATTTTATTCAATATTAAGTAATTCATTAGTGTAGAAGCTACATAGGGCATTGTACAATATCACTTTTCTAAAGCACCTATTTCTAGTGTTTCTTAATACAATCCTACTTCAAAAGTTCTTAAAAACTTGATCCTGAATTCTCATCTTCGATTCATTAATTGTGTGAATAAACACATTGCTAAACCTGAAGCATTCAGGGGTTATGAGACTTCAAAAACAACCTGATCTAATCAGTGAACTCATTTTCTAGAAGAGTACTCGGGATTGGAGTGTATCAAAGACTTATGAGAGGTGGGAATGGGATCAAATATCATCTTTTGTCCATTAATTAGTAAAAGTGGAGTTAATGCAGAGTAAATACCTATTCACTGTTGGAAGATTTAGAACCACCTCGAAAAATTTCTTAAGTATTAAAAGTAAAGCTGCTTCAGTTGCTGCAGGTTCATCCCTGGCAATTGATGCCTTAATGTCTGTATAATCTGAGGACGCGCTTGCTCTTGTAGCCATACTATTTTTCTTGAGAAATGCTGCGGAGAAACCTGAAGCCCAGACCTGAAAAGACAATCAAATGATTTATCTTACCATGTATCAGAAATTAGCACCTTAAAAAGCAGGCTAGGACACGAAAAAATAAAGGAATCATCTGTCTCTTCACTCTAATTTCGTAAATGTCCAAGAACTTCAAGGGCTTAAATTGGGGGAAAATATCATTGCATCATATTTTTAATATGATCCTCATTGGCGACAATAATAAACTGTTTTGGAAGTTCAAATGTTAATATCTCCGCTCATCAATCTATTGCAACCCAAAGAGTGAATCCATCCGATTGTTTTAAATTTGAGGTATAGTGAACAGCACTGAAGTAGGAAGGACGAAGAAATAGTGATAGAAGTATTAACAGAGAAGAGGATAACGAACGATTTACAAATTGCCAGCAGCAAATGGCTATGCTCCATAGAGAGAGCATTAACATCAAGAATATTAGAAAGGATAACAAGTAGCATGACACACACAGATTCCCCCGACAAAAGGCTAAGTTCACTAGAGTCTAACAATTGCGAGAGTCTTTACCTGTGGGTCAGGGTAGGCAACAGGTGCAGAATCTACTATGCAGCCCCTAATCCTATTCATTATTGAAGGATCCTGCTTTTGAAACTGCTCCAAAACAACCCCATATCTGCAAGGTTTACCAAACCAATCATACATTGACAAATGGCTTCCTCAAAAATAGAAAAGTGCCTAAATATGTGCATTTGCTTGTGAATAGCAAAGGGAAATGAATTCACTCACGTTAACCATCCAGTGTTGCTGAAAGTGTGAAATACTAGATTCTTTTCATCTTCCCCTTCGAGCCAGCCTGCCAAATGGTCCACTAGCAACTGAACATTTTGTTCCGCTTTCCCTCCAGGCTGGTAACTTAGAACCTCATCCATTGGAAAGGTAAATGTAATGGCATGAAACCCTCTTGAAGTGTACCACTCTGCATACTTCTTAAGATGTTTCTGCTTTGACCCCAACCAGCCCAATAAAACCACCACCGTCCTTGATTTCTCCAATGAACATTTGGAATCACCTAAAAGACCCACGGCATTTACCTCAGGCAAATGCCATTGGTACATAACCTCAGAAGGCGGAGAAGATATACTTTTGGAATATGCCGATGGCCTGGAGACTTGAGGCAAACCAGCAGAGTGATATAAACAGTGAAGCTGTCGAGACGAAGCAACAAAAGAATAGTGCAAATTTGAAACGTAATTGGGGCCCAAAGATGGGACACGGAAATATACATCAGGAACAGGCACTCGAATTCGGGTAAAAAAAGAAAGGTTAGCAAGCTTAGAAGAGGAAATATGAGAAACCCATGATGAACTTGACCCTTCAATGGAATTATAAGCCGAAGAATTCGTCAAATCTGTGGTTGAACAAACATCCGATGCTCCACGAGATGGCAAAGGCAATTTATCCGAGAGGTCAGCAGAGAAGGAAGCCGCAGCAACAGCAGCAGCAGCTACCAGAGGTCGCTGAAGGGGCCCAGAAAACGAACTCATGGAAGAAATTCAATGCAAAACCTTCGAGGGAAATTTCAAGAAAACCCAGATCTCCCAGAATGTGTGAAAACCGAGACACGCCTGCGGAGTATGAAAGAGTAATGACAACCTCTTAAGAAAAAATCAACAAATGAAAAAAAAAAAAAGGGTAGGTGGAGTTGTATCAGAATTGAATGAGCGAATAAACGGGAACCGCATAACTCACACGTAAAGAAAACGCGCAAGAGAAGCTACGCAAGAATCCAGAACAGCATGAGAATATTCGATCGCGCGAAAAGATTATTCGTACCTTGGCGTTGGAATCCCTCCAAGAAATCGGGCTGTCAACGTCGTTTTGACAGCCCGATTGAAACTCTTGACGCTCTTTCCACCACCAAGGAGTCTCGTTTATGCTATAAAGCGTTAGATTATCAGGTTTGGCCTTATGTCACCTGCAAGTGAGTTCTAAAACATGCCAAATCTCAACCTCAAATGCAAATTTGGTTTCTTTTGCCCCTTAAAAAATTTGACCGGTCGCAATTGATTAATTAGCCAATATGATTGATTGCATATGTGAGAATATAAATTTGAAGTCAAACCATAACAAACTTATTTTAAATAGTAAATTTGAAGTCAAGCCATAACAAACTTATTTTAGAGATAATTGAAATTAATTCGTCTGTTTTAAATTTTACAAAAATACAATATCTAAAAAAAATCACATGGGCTTCATAGTTTCACGATATGAAATTTTTGGCATTAATTGATTGGCATAAATAAGAATACATATAATAATACTTTTATTTAGCAACTAATTGATGTATGATAAATTCTTGGCGGCTTGATGTTAAGGATGAATATGTAAAGGTGGGAAAAAAAAGGATGAATATAAAATATAAACCTAATATAGAGTTCATAGATTTCAATGATTGAAAATTATGCTTTATGTTTTTTAATATCTCGCAGTATGCATAGTTTTATTGAAATTTATATTAGACAGGGCAGATGTATTATATTGTCATGGGAAAAAAAGGATGAAGAAAATATATTATTTTATTTATTATTTATGAGAACAAACTATTAAAATATAAAGTATATAGTAAATAAAAATTTTTAGCAAAAAGAAATATATAAAATAAGGATAAAGTTTGCAAATTATTAAAATTTAAAACAAAATCAATGAACTTTAAGATTTTTTTTTAAATTTTAGTGAAACATGTTTGCAGTGCTTTGTGGATAAGATTAGATGAATTTTGTTGTACTCCTCCGGTCCTTAATATAAGACCTATTTAACTAATTTGATTAGATTAAAGAAGTTAGGTAAGTAGTTAATTATAAGAAAAGTGACATATTTTTTTCAAAATACCATTCATCTTTCTTAATACCTCTCTCCCCTCTTCTACTTGATTATGGTTGAAGAGTATCTAGAGAGGTATTTAGAGAAAATTGATAAATATGAGAAATGGGTCTTATATTTAGGACCGGAACCAACTCAAAATTGGGTCTTATATTAAGGATCGGAGGAGTATTGTTTATTAGTTTCTTTATCATCTGTCGCCCAATCCCTCATACTTGAATAAAATTCAAAAAGATGTTTAATATCAACTAGATCAACGAGTATGCCTACTAGCTAAACCACAAACGGTGGCGTTACTCTCAGAGCACATGAGAATTCCTCAACACAATGAGAGCAGCCATGTGATCCAGCCTTTTAAAAAGCCCCATTATTTTTTAATTAAAGACTGCACAAAATAATATACTACTAACAATGATCTTTAATATAAAAACTATTTTAATATTTAATTTTATCCTAAATATAAAAATTTAATTTATTTTTATTTATTTATTTATTTTTTTCAAGATAGTCTTTATAATAGTTACACATGTTAAAGATCTTATCATTGACAGTGGTTAATACACATGATTAGTAAGGATATTTTAGGAAAAAAATAGCATATTTATCATAAATAACTAATATAACTAATTTTGTTAATCTATTTAAATCATTACTATTATTTTACTACTCCTTCCCGTCCTAACTATAAGACCTATTTTGTAGTACAAATAGGTCTATATTTAGGAGTCAATGAGTATTATATTTATATTCTTCCTGTCCTTAATATAAGATTCAATTGTTGATTTAGTTTTGGTCCTAAATATAAAACCTTTTATTATATTTATTAATTTTTTCTAAAAATTACCTATATGGATACTCCTTCAACCAAGATCAAGTAGAAGAGAAATAAGGGGTATTAGAAAGATGATTATAGTATTTTAGGAAAAACATGTCATATTTTTTATAATTAACTAATTTACCTAATTTTTTTAATTTGATCAAATTAGTTAAATAAATCTTATACTAAGGATCAGAAGAGTATTATTGAAATGGGTGGAGTTACAGCCTGCCCTTGTTGAGCGGGGGGAATACTCGGGCTATTGCGAGCATGAAACACGTGATGCGAGGTTCTGGTAAAGACCAAGAAGGAGCCGCGTCAAAGAAAAGGCGGTAGCCTCCACACGTCATCAACTAAAACGAAAAGGCCGGTGGCTTTTGAAAAATCAGATTAAATGAATTATTAGAAGCGGGTACATTATGCCACGTTTCAGTCAAAATTCATATTTATTTGTGTTTTTTGGACATGTTTGTTAGTGTTTTTTTATATACATATTTATTTCACAACCAGTATCTCATCGTTAAGGACTAAACGGTTGCATATCTTTCATTCTTATCATATTGTTGTAAGCTGGGAAAAAAAAAAAAAACCTTGAAGATAAATATACAGATTAATCTTCTTTTATTATGTATTTGGTACGAGAGAATTGAAAAGGAGAAAGACAATTTTAACAAACTCGATTTAAAAAATTGAAAAAGTGATTAAAAGCTTTTAATTAATTCTTTTACTCTTTTATTTTATATTTTTTAATCAAAATTTTATAACCTTATTTCTTAAATTTTTTAGACCAGACTCGTTAAAAAATTTTCCTCCCGCCACTCACATCACACATGGGCTAAAGTGGACAACAAATGAAAATGAACCTCACATTACGGATTTTGCAGTTGCCACACACCCATCATGTTCTTTGTTCATATAGCATTAGTTTGGATATTGTCATCTCGCAGGATTGCTTCTTGAGAAGACATTTTTGAAACTGAAAATTATATTCACTTCAAACCTCAAAGGTAATCTATTATGAAAGAGGGGTTGAAATTCCAAAACAGACGCACACTCGCAAAATATATGTGGCATCCGCGATATAATTAGTATTTTTTTTTAATAAAAAGTAATCTTCATCTGAATCATCTGCTCAACTATTGTCTATACATTGAAATGCTTGATTATATTACCTCCGGTCCTTAGTATAAGACTCTGTTTGATTTTTATTTTGATCATAAATATAAGACCCCAATCCACCTTGTCTCTCATATTTATATTTTTTTTCCAAAGTAGCCCTTCTGACAATAATAGTTCTAGTCAATACTTGATTAGTAAGGATATTTTAGGAAAGACAACACCTATTTAGGACATAACTAACTCAACTTACTTCTTTATCTCATCAAATAGTCAACTGGTTCTTATAATTAGAACCGGAAGTAGTATATTGTTAAGAATTTAATTTAAGTAACTCTTGGCTTGAAAACGAGAGGGGTGGGGAGGACATGTGTGCGTTTTTTTTTATTACAAAAAATTTATACGAGTTAGATCCTGAGAACTTATTAAAACTAGGATATGTCTCTAAGTTCAAAGAGTACTCACAAGGGTATTTATAGATTGCCTACTAATAAGATCTTTATATTTACATCGTAGTGAAATTTAAACTTATAATCTTGTGAGTTATGAGTTGATTTTTTTATTAACGACACTAATTCTTGTTGGTGGGAAGATATGTGCTGCTGCTGAGGTGGTGCAACTTGCGAATCACGCACTCCTCCAGTGTTGAGACCTTTTGTTGAGCCTTGTTGGGCTTCCCCGACCCAATACAAGCTTCTTTTTTCATAGAGTAACAATAACGAGTTTTGGGAGTTATGGGGCATTGGGGCAAAAAAAAACCTTTAAAGTCCTAAAAGATTATATCATCGTGGAATTAAAAATTTAACAACACATTTACTAAAATATTTTTTTAAAAAAGCCACATCCATCTACAAAAAAATTATCATTTTTTTAAAATTTTAAAAACAATCCAAATCGGAAAGAAGGCAGCTCATTGTTTCAAAATATCCTCTTGAGTAATTTTTGGATGTAATTACACTTGATAGATGAAGGTGTATACTTATTAAAATATAGAAATTCAAAAAAGATACTGTAAAAATTAATAATTATTAAATAATAAATATTTTTTTATAATTATAACTAACCACAATATCAATTTTACTTTTTATGACATTTATACATAATAAATTATTTTCCATAAAAACTCTTCTCCATCTAAAACTCACAGGGCGTTTAAATCAACATCAAATCATGAATATAAAATCAATCAACATCAAATCATGAATTTAAAAATGATTTTATGATATATGAAATAAATAAGTGAAATAAGTTTATCTTAACTTACATGTTTGGTTCAACTCAAAGTATTTTTAAAAAGTGTTTTCACGCTTCTCACTTATTTTTTTGTGTACTATAAGATCACTTTTAATAAAGTTATAATTTAGTTCTTATCTAAATATTTTTGAGGAAAAACGCTTGAAGTAGCTGGCAAAGACAAAAACAAAAATGTTCACATTTTCTCCCTCTCAGTTCTGTGTTCCTTACGCACCGTTTATAAAATTCTTTTATTAAAAAAAAAAAAAGTTTGTTTTTGAGCCAAACGGCGCCTAACTTGCGTTTGCATCGCGGCATCGGGTGCTCAATACTCACTACTCAGGACTCACTGGCAACATAAACTAGGGTTTTTTCCTCTCATCTTCGTTCCAACCTGCGTTGCCCAGATCAAATCCAGAAATCTTTTGTTCCCTGCAATGGTCGGAAGCCTTGAAATCGGAGCTGTATCTTTCAATCCAGATGGATGGGGTCCGCCTGACGCCACCGCGTCCTCCGCCAGCAATCTCCCGGCGAATGTACCCTACGCTCCATTCTCTCGTTCAGACAAACTTGGTCGAATAGCTGACTGGACCCGCAACTTCAACAACCCTACACGAATCAAGAACCCGGCTGACGCCGCATTCGACTTCACCATCGACGATTCCTTCCCTGCCTCCGCTGATGATGATGCCTCCTTCCGCCTTGTCGACGGAAAGCCCCCACCGCGACCTAGGTTTGGCCCCAAATGGCGGTTCCAGCAGCAACGCCAGCTCCCTCAACGCCGTGACGAGGAGGTGGAGGCCCGAAAACGTGAGGCTGAGAAGGAGAGGGCACGCCGCGACCGTCTCTACCATCTCAATAGATCCAATGCAAATAATACACGTCGTGAAGCCGCGGTCTTC